TTTCAAAGTCGTTGAGCCTCTGATTAGAGGAGTCATTTATGTTTCTCAAAGTCATTAAGCCTTTGCTTAGAGGAGCTTTGGTCAAAAACAAAAAAAAAATAAAAAAATAAAAATATCGATTTGAGTCTTGATTGGGTGTTTACGTCTTTGCGTAATTTCTGTTTCACAGAAAATATGCAAAGAGGGGTAGCTGTAGACACCCAATTTGGTCCAAGCCCGGATCAATTGGGCCTAGTCCAAATAGGTGAGTCAATTTTTTTTTTTTTTGTATTTTACATTTTTATTTTATTTTTATTCTTTATTATTATTATTGTTTTTTTATATATTTTTTTCTTTTATCTTAGGTATTTATTATTTATTTATTGATCATTACTATTTATTAATATATATCTTTATTATTATTTTTTTCTTTTTTTTTGTTAATATTTATAGGTATATCAGATTATATATTATAATTTATCTGTTATTTAATTTTAATTTATTTGTTAATTTTTTTATTTATCTTATTTATTTTTATTTGATTTTTTTATTTTTTTTATTTATCCGACTGAAAATTGGATTGGGATTCAATCAGAAGAGTTCATGTTGGATTCAATGATTGAATCTCGATCCAAAGAGGAATTGGGATTGATCAAAAACTTTTCTGATCAATCTCTATAAAAGGGATCCTCAGAAACAGAACACAAAAAAAACAGTGAGAAAAATAGCTACTGGTTGAGAGAAAAAGGCATATAGAAGAGATTTGAAGGCTAAAAAAGGTTTAGAAGCGTTAGAACAGCTTTAGAAATCGAAAAAAAAATTTTAGAGATTTTTGACGAAATTTTTTTTTGAAAATTTTTGGAAAATTTTCAAATTTCGGTTAATTTTTCGACGGACATTGAATTTTTTGACGAACATTTCGGCCAAGTTTGAAGTTTTCGGTCAACTTTCCAGTTTTCGAGGACATTTTCAGAAACCAATCAGTTTTTCGGTGAACTTTCGTCGAAAAACCTAAATTTCGACAAAAAATTTCAAAATCTAGTGAATATTCAATCGGAGTTCTCGGGCGTTTTAGAGAGGAGAGAGAAAAAGAAGGAAGAGAGAGAGGGAAGAGGTTCGATCTGTTAAAAAACGAAGGAACTAGCTTTATATACTCTCCCAAAACGACGTTTTTGCGTTAAATAACTCAAAAGATCCGCGCGTTTTGTTAAGATCCGATCCGACCCGAGCGTCGATCAATTTTTCGACCCACGCGTGATCTACCTCCCCGAGCCGAGCCGAGCCTTGAGCCAAGTCGTTCCAGGTTTTTTTTTAATTTTAATTTTATTTTTATTTATTTATTTTTATTATTAGATTAGGTTTATTTAATATTCTTTTATCTTTATTTTATTTTTATTTTTGTTTTAATTTTCTTTATTTTTTAATTTTTGTTTATTTTCACTTTTATTTTGTTTTATTATTTTATTTTCTTTAAATAAAATAAAAAAAAATATTTTTGGGAAAAAGTTGAAAGTATTAATTTTCCTTAAAAATAAATTTTCAAAAAAAATTTTTGAGGGAAAGTTGAAAATATCAATTTTCCTCAAAATTAAAGTTTTCAAAAAAATATTTTTGAAAAAAAGTTGAAAGTATCAATTTTTCTTAAAAATAAATTTTTAAAACGGTTTTTGAGGAAAAATTGAAAGTATCAATTTTTTTCGAAATTAAAGTTTCAAAAGATATTTTGGGAGAAAAATTGAAAGTATCAATTTTTCTTAAAAATAAATTTTCAAAAAAAAGATTTTTGAGGAAAAGTTGAAAGTATCAATTTTCTTTGAAATTAAAGTTTCAAAAGATATTTTGGGAAAAAATTGAAAGTATCAATTTTCCTCGAGATTAAAATTTCTAAAAAATATTTTGGGGAAAAGTTGAAAGTATCAATTTTTTCTGCACAAAAACAATCATTATTTTCTTTCTTTTTATTTTTTTTAATGTTAAATAATCCGACGATGGAGCCTCTGTAAGTGAAACAGTAGTTTTTTTGCATACTCTTGAGGTGAGGGGATTTTCTCAATTTTTTGTTAAAAGTATTAGAGTCAATTAAGAATAATTTCTAATAATTAATCACTTGGTAAATTTTTAAGGCTCATTGGATAACATAAATTTAAGCTGGTACCATCTTTTGATTGGCGTTGTAAGGGTGCTATAACTTTCCTCACACGTAACCGAACTTCCGAATTCAGTTCTGGTTAGTAGACCTGAACCTATTCTTTTAGGGACCCTTAAACTTAGGTGTTCCCTGAAAGGACAGATTCCTTTAAGTGGCCAATCGTATCTAGATAAAAAAGATTGGTGACGATTCCCTTAAGTCAATGTCTAGCGATAGATCCCTAGATTTAGACGTTATGACAATAATCATGTTCAATTTTTTTTTTTTGAGATTATTTAAGACGTTTATAAGTAATAATCAAAATAAGAGTTAGAAAAAAAGGTTGAATCTACGATCTTATGATTAATAGCCATTTACTTTAAACAATTGAACTACTTTAATTTTTTTATATTTTATCTCTTAAATGTTATAAGATTAATAATTAATAAAAAAACGTCATAAATAATGCCTTTCAAAAACATTTAAGCACTAAAATGAAGGATCAAATCTATCACCTTACAGTTAATAGCTATATGTTCAAACCGATTAAATTACTTCAATTTTTTTATATTTTATCTCTTAAAATTTATAAGTGATGAAAGAAATTATTTAAGGTTAAATAATAATACCCTTCAAAAATTAAAAGGTATTATTTAAGACCTTTTTGATCAAAAATATCTTTAAAATGATTCTTTCATATTTTTTGTATGACATTTATTTAAGGCACTTTTGGATCAAAAACGTCTTAAATAATTTTTTTAAAAAAATAAAAAAAATTATTTAAGACGTTTCCCAATAAAAAATGTTTTAAACAATTTTTAATATTTTTTATTGATGATATTTTAAAAATAAAAATAGTAACCAAATAAAATGTCTTCTTTTACTATTAAAGGCATCATTTGTCATTTGAATATTTATATAAAAATTAATAAAAAATTAACATCATATATATTAAAGAGATTATAATAATTATTCAGAAATTAATATATATAGTTTTTTTTAACTAAATGAATAAATTTGAATACGAAATATTCTAAAAACGAAAAAAAAAAATGGATATCATATTTTTTAAAAAATTATATTTTCTTTCAAAATTAAAGATTTCATGAACCAAACAACCCAAACATCATAAACAAATCTTTTTTATTGTGTTTCTTTTGATGTTTCATTCATTTAAGTTTAATAAAGGGCCAACGTCAATTTCTAACAACCTAAGAAAAAGAAAGGGCCAGTGGGAGGAATAGAAAAAGCTGATGGCATGTAAGAAACAATTAAAAAACTGACCAGGAAAATGAAAGAAACTTACGTTGCACGGTTCAGATGTCACAATATTAAAAGTAAAGGATGAAAGGGCATGAGATAGAGATGATGTGGTCTCATGTGGCATTGTCCACATGTCATAAATTTAGATGTCACAATTTTAGTTAATAAGGGATAAAAATATAATAAATTATATATATATATATATTTATAACCACAAGCTGTATTTTTTTCATGTTTTGACATGGTAGAAATCAAGCTCTCATTCCAAATAAACAGAATTTTGTTCACAAGTATTTAATTTTGCATAAAAACAGCCATGGAATTAGTAGTTGAAGCATTAGATATAACTTTAGTGAGCTTCCCGACTCGAAAAAGCCTAATCATCTCTTTTTTTTTTTTCATTTTTGTAAGGTACAAATTTATCACTATTTTAACAGTTCAAGCAGTTCAAATTTACCACTAAATTTTTAATCTGTCACAATTTTAGCATTATATTTTTAATTTTGGAGCAAATTAATCACATACTTCTAATTTTGAAGTAAATTTGATCAAATTATAACAATTGAAAATATTTTGTAAAATATTTCGTTAGAAACTATTTTATAATTAAAAAAACTTTAAAATGATATTACAAAAAAGAAAAATTGTCCAAACCAACTAAAAAATAGATATGTTAATGGAATGGATTAAGCCAGGTCCGATTGGTCATTTTCAACGCTGTCCCAAGCTTCACCTTGCCCGTTGGACCTTAAAGGCGTGGAGTTTTTTACTTTTCAAAATTATAAAAATATCATAAATTATAAAATATTAATATTTTTATATATTTTAGAATTAAAGTTAATAAAAATATTTTTTATTAATTAAATAATATTTAAAGTTGAGTACTTGTTTGGAAAACCTTGTTCAAAACAATCAAAATCTTTATTCAAGAACAGGTTTACTGGAAAAAAGTGATGATATTATATTTAATAGAAAATGTCATAAGAAAAATATAAAATAAAAATTATGATTATGTGGTATTATATTAAAAAAAAATCCCATAGTAGAATAAAAAAATAAAAAATTATCTAATTTAGCTTCTTGTTTTTTTTCTTACCATAACATTTTCAAAATTATTTTTTGAATTACAAAATAGCTTTTAATAGAATTTTTTTTATTGAATATTCTTTAATTATTCGAAAATTTAAAGTATGATAGTAAAATTACTCAAAAATTAAAAATATTTTTACTAAAACTGCACCACTTAAAATATTCGTGATAAATTTAAATCACTCACATAAGTAAAATAATAAATTTGCGGTTTATGCTTTTTTTTTTCCTTCCAAATCAATTTGAGTAATTGGGAAAAATCGACTTATTTATCTACATCACATTCTTCAATTTCGAGTAACGTAAAAAATTGCGTTATAGCATTAACAGACATTACAAATATCCAGAAACCCACATTTCATAGTCCAAACAAACTAATATGAATTCTTTTTGGCAGTTGTTAGAACTTATGATCTGATTAGCAAGACGAGAATGAAAGTTCAGCATGCAGATCAAGACACAACAGGAATCCCACCCTTTCCGATTTAATCAATTCAAGAACCTAGAATATTTTTTCATTCTTGCAGCAGAGCATTCCACATGGTCCAATTATAAGCTACATGCATGCTATAATGTCTGCAGTAAAAACCGAGGTACATAATTCATGTCAAACCACATAACAGCAATTTCGATGCATTGGCTAAAAGGCCCAATATGTAGACGGTAATACATTTATTCATGGTTTTCCTGATGCTACAATGTTCTGTCTTGCGCATTTGGCACAATGCATCAGATATCACTCTCTTATTCTTCAGAAACACCAGCATATTATAAACTCAAAGGTAGATTTTCAGCCATTCAACACCAACAGCAACAGAGTTCTAGGGAATACACTATTATCCGATTAGTTTCTCACTTAACATACTTGGTAAACCACTGCAGCATATCTTGATGAGCTTCATCTGCGCACCTCACAGCTGTTGGATCATCAACCTTGTATCTGACCGTCCATCCATGAACACATTTAGGGAATATCCTCACATAGCTATCAACCTGCAAAATATAGTATTTTGTAACTGAGATAATGAGAGGTCATTTAGTGATGACAATGGCCATAAATAATGTAATTAAAGGCATTCAGGAAGAACAGATCTAACGGGAGAACAACAAAAACTCAGGCGAAGAGTGCATGTAGCCACAGACCTATGGTCACTTGCACCCTTGGGTTGATGGAAGCAAGACTAGCCACAGGCAATTGGACAGGTTGGATCATTTTGGCACGGGTCATTTGGGGTAATGGTTATTATGGTCATATTAGATTCGGATTAATTCGAATTCTGATCATTTTGGATTCCAATTAATTTGAGTTCAGATAACGTGGAGTTGACACTTGAGTTGTTTGAATTTGGCTCATTTCCTATTTGACATCAGTGTCTTTCTGATTCAATTTGTTAACTTCTAAAATCTAATTAGATTGTATTTGAATAGATTATTCAAATCAAATTCAAATTTATCAATTATAATTAAATTATTTAAGATTACAAGATGAAATTTTTTATTAACTTATGGCATGCAAACATATCAAATACCTCAATTTTGATTGTCAATATCATAAGAATAAATTTTTCTAAAAAATAAATATAATTAAATTACATAGAAGTTAAAAGAAAAAACAACTGAATTAAAATGTCATTTGTTAATATAGAATTATGTTACATCGTATAAAAAATTAACAATTAGTTCACAATAAAAACTAATTAATAATTTTTTATTAATTGACATGTAATTTTTATTTTCAATTTTCATGCATTAATTATTAATTTATTATTAGTGATTCATTTTGATTTTTCATACAGTATTACTTGTACACGTTACTCACTAGCAAATAGTAATAAACTGAAAATGGGCAAATACCTAATAATTTCAAGAAGACTCACCGCTAAAGAGTAAAATAATGTCAAAAAAGTACTGTTGATATTTATTAATTAATTAATGGCCTAATCTTAATGCTTCAAAAGAAAGTTCAAAAACAATCAAAATTGCTTGACAAAATATTAATCTAATTTTAATAATTGACCATTTGAATAATAATAGTATTAAAAAAATGAAGACCACATATTGCCGATTGGCTATTGATATAGCATGAAAATATAATAATACTAAAAAAAGAGATAGTAAAAGATAATTTAAACTTACTAAATTCTAATAAGTTGACAATTTATGTTATCTTTATTATTCTTAATTACATTAATACTTTAAAAAAGTTTAATTATGCTTGATTTAATTTCGAAAAAGTTTTTTACGTCACTAGGGTTCAAGTTATTTCAAGTTTGGATTCTTCCGGGTTATGTTAAAGTTGGAGATTAGGGTTGGGCTGATTCAAGTTGTCGACTTATTTTGGTCAAATCAAGTTGGTCGGGTTCACGTTCGGGCAAGTTGGACAGATATTTTGAGTTCGGGCCAACTCTAATTGCAAGTAAATTTCTAACCAAGAATAGGAAAAATTCAAAGGTGATGTAAGGTCAGCAAGAGCATAACATCTAATTCTATGGCTAAACTACTAAAAAAAACCTTATATTTTCTCAAAATTTTTAAATAAGCCCCTATCTTTTTATCGTCAAAGTAATTGGCAAGTTCCTTTACTATAGGAAAAAGAGTAATTTAATCCCTCTATTTCAATTTTGAGTAATTTAATTCTTCTACTATTAAATTTGAAAGCAATGAAGGACAATAGCTAGCACGGATTATAATATCTGTGAATTATGCTAATGTGGTGAACATATGATGTTGAGATGGTGCACAAGGAATTAAAACAAATTAAAAATACAAAAAAAAAAAAAAAACCCTAATCTTCATTTGCCTTCATCCTCTTCTCTCTCTAATAGTCTCTCTAGAAATACCCAAATTTTGACCATCCACCCGTTGACTAGCCACTATTGCCACCATCAATCAGCCACCGTCTCCGTCTCTGGTATTTTTCTACAAAAGAAACTCCCTTTTTCTTACTCTCACTCCCCTAAACCCACATCAGTTTACTTTATCTCTTTCTTCTTCATTATCTTAGATTTTTCTTTTTCTACAGAAAACTTAGATATATTCGTCGTTTGTCATCGCCTGGCACCTCCACCGCCCTTTTCTTCTTCCTCTCTCTTTAACCCTTCCTTTCACCGATCATATTGTCCCTTCCTTTCACCGATCATATTGTCCAAACTTAGATCGTTATGATTGAAAGTTATTGTAGAGGGGGGTAAATTTTTGCTAAGCAGGAGATTCATGCCTTTGAGATAGGCCCTGGTGTCCTGTCTTTTTACCAACGATGGAACTGGTTTTAGAGTGTGGTGGGTAGAACCAATTGCCAAGTCCTGATGTGTTCCACCATTTTATAACATATTCATCATTATATATTTTCGTGTTAAATTGTTTTATCTTTTTCATCCTTTTAAGGGGAGGTTTTTTTGTAGTTTTAAGTTTGTGGAAGAAATTACGAGTTAGAGGAAACAATTTTGGGTTCTTGGTGGAATGTTTAGTAGCACCAAGCTCTACACTCTTTACTACTGGGAATGATTAGTTGTCAAGTGCCAAACTGAATTAGAATTTTGGAGGATGGTTTCTTCGTTGAAACACCCCTTTTTCTCCCCTTTGTAACTTCTTTCCCCTTTCATTCTTTTCTTATCTTTCCTCTATTCTCTGTATGTTCTCTAGTTTTGGAATGAATTATGCTAGCCGATGGTGTCAACACTGGTTTTATTAAATAGTCTTGAGCAAATTTTTACTTTACGCAGAGAAATATCCCACTGTTAATTTAAGTATTAAGATTATGCTTAATACACAAGATTATGGTAGAATAAAATATTATAATATTATGAAAAGGATTTGATTAAATAATGTTATCCTATCTTATATTTGATATGTGCAAAGATTAGGATAAAATTATTTATTGATCAAAATTATCCTTCTTCAAAATTTATACAATTTAAACTATTGATGTAATTTTTAAGGCTATAATAAGACATGTAAGTTCAATCACATAGATTAAAAATAATCCTCCACTTTGGGAGGATTAAATAATCTTATACCAAGAGGATGATAATCCTCCTTTCAATCATATCCCTTTTTTTATATACAAATCAAACATAATATAAGATGATTATCATCTTATCTTATCCATCATCCTACGCACTAAACATTACCTAAAAGTTTCAAATTGTTGTTTATGTGCTCTGCCAGGCAAGGACTAATTATTAAGGAGAGGTCAAAATGAAAGGATAGGCAGCAGAAAGTTAGGGCTGGCTTTGGTTTGAATTTAATTCATGGATCCATAACAATTATTTTTCTTATTGCCTTTGATTTATGTTTCTGCTATTTTTTGGGTTGTATTTTTTGTTAGATAAAAATGGGATTTTGGGATGCCATTTGGGTTATGATGGGATTTTCAAGGTGGTAAGTTTTTCCTTTTGGCTTTTATTTTTCTTTCTCCAAATCTTAATTATTTTTTATTATAGCTTAATATTTATGGATTTAGTGTGAAAATCAAAGGGGGACCGAAACCATATTTTGGGGTTTTTTTACATTTTTAATCATGGCAGCATAAAAAATATTATTTTAATTCCACACGTGCACCACGCCAATAAAAGATTACAAGTCAACACCATAAATGTCCCACATCAACGTAACCAATAGACATTACATTCCCTGTTACTTGTTGTCCTTCATTGCTCTCAAATTTAAGCGCACAGGGACTAAATTATTAACAATTGAGATAGGGAGACTAAACTATTCTTTGTCCTACAATAAGGGACCTCGGAGGTCCTTTGACCTCCAATTATACCTAATGAAGCCTTAAAAGTATTATTTTTGTTTAATTAAGCAATTATTTTGCATGAAAAATGCTAAAATCCATTAGAAAAATAGGGATTTAATTAAACAAAAATAATACTTTAAGTGCATAATACGACACAAATATTGCTGTAAGTGTGTGATTAGACAAAAATAATAGTTTATGGATGTAATTGAGTACAATATAAGGATAGAGCTTATCTAGGAAATTTGAAAATGTATAAGAGCTTTTTCTTAGTATTTTAGCCTTATTTTTAAACCATAAGCTTGAAATAGTGAAGAAAGGAAATGGGAGAGAGAATTTCCAATTTTCTTTGGCTTATTCAATAAAGAGGATAAATAACAGCCAATAATATTTTAAGATGACCGCTAGTACAGTAAATTGAAACCACGCATTGGGTCTTCTTACCTCATTAGCACTTAAGATCTCATCAAACTGTTTCACAAGTTCTGGGGGAGACATTTGGTCAATCTCAGCTCCCAGTATAGCAATGGGCAACTTCACACCTGTAAAAATTTGTACATAATCATTAGTAATAAGGTAGCACTGCCCCTAACACACACACACACACACACACACACACACACACAACACACACACCACACACAACCATTAGAGAAAGGGAAGCACTAAATCTGTTAAGACAGTTTCTTTTCAATAACATGGTCATCAGAACCTAACAGATTTTTTACCAGCCTATACTAGTTCAAATGTATTTTTTGGTATTTGAGGCTTTCAAGGATTGAATCCCAAGCACTGAAACTAAGAATCCAATACTCTACCAATAAGGCACACAGCCAAACTAGTTCAAATTTATAATCACAGAAAGGATGTATGATGTACTTAGCTGGGTATAAAACTTTTACATGTGTATTTGTTCAGAGAAACATTGTCCTACATCTTAAAAAGCAGCAAAGATTTAAAGCCCACATCTATGCTAGTAATAGCTAATACAAAAATGTGGGTATTACTCAAGTATTATAAAGAAAAGGTAGTATTAAAACTATGGAGGATTTTGATAGATCTTGTATTAAATATACTATTATAAACTATATATTTTATCGATATTCAAGTCATATTCTAATCACGTATGGCAACATATGTCTTTCTATAATAAAATAAACATAGCAAAACAGAAAAGTTCTCTTAAAGAATCATCTAATAACTCCAACCAAACCCAAACTTCAACTTTTGAATGTGTATCATCAAAACAGTTTCATGCTTTGGATTATGAGAAAAGCATTATTGATTCTAGGATAGGGAAGAATTTTGACACTATTGTACAACATGGAGTTTCTCTTGGCAATTATCATATAAGGCCAAGTTTTCTCATCTCCGGACAGCTGCATGATCTTGCTAATTGTATTAAGTCACTAATATCGTGATGGTGAATTGATGGACCATAGATGAGTTGATTTCTGAAAGATATGGGTTCAGGTTTTCAAATGTGCTTTGCTTTGTTTCTTATTGATTCTTCAAAATGGGTTGCCAAAATAAGACCGGCTAAAGAAATGAGAAAGGGTGGTCATAACTTCACATTCTTGAATTTGGTAATGATTAAGATTTTCAGACTATTTGGGTAACATTTGATATTATTTTTAAGATCACCAAGATTTAAATATAACATTTTATAAAATATTAGTAATATTTTATCAACTTCATAATAAAGTATCACTAAGTTATAAAATTTAAAAGGCTAAAACACTAAAAACAAGTCCTTGAACTTTCTCATTTTTCTTAGGTAAGTCTTTATGCTTTTTGTTGTATTCGAATAAACTCTTAACCTTTAATTTGTACCTAAATAAGCACTTATCCAAATCAGAAATTTGACTTCTGATACAGTAAACACCAATTGGTGTTCCACATGTACAAAAAGATGTCAGCTGGCATTGGGTGCAAAGACAGTTGAGATTTTGCTTGAAATAAAGGCTTACTTAAGTACAAATCAAACAATTGGGGCTTTTTTGGGGTACAGCAAAGGCATAAAGTCTTACCTAGAAAAAATAAAAAAAGTTCAGGGATTTTTTTTAATATTTTAGCCTAAAATTAAAAATATATTTATTGTTAGTAAACTAACTTTTATAATATAAATTATGTAAAAAATTTTATAATATAATGTTAAAAAACATTTGAATTAGAAAATAATAAAAGGAAAAGAAAAAATTATACCATCTACAATATTAAAAAAAGTTAAAAGAAAGTATGCAATTTATTTTTTTTAATTTGATACAAGGAATATTATTTTGATAAGGTAAAAACATATAATATGAAACAATTACAATTTTGAGAGGAAATTTCAATCCACATATTAAATGGGTAATATTGACTATAATTAGTTTTATAACTCACTTCACATTGGTGGCAAAAGTCTCTCATCCTTTTGGATGGAATTTAGATCACTCACCAAGACAGTGATCTAATCACTCCCAATGATCTAAGACCACCACCACATAGGATCACCTAATTCTTACTGAACATGGTGATCTAACCACTATATGCAGATCACCATGGTTTTTTAGGTGAAACCCTTGCCAAACACCACCTTTAAAATGGTGTAAGAATCTTTCGATTAAAATGACATGAATCCTTTAGAAACTGATTAGGCAACATGGCCTCCTGAAAATAAACTGAATCCTAAGCAAGAGCCTATGCGAAAAGTTTCACAGAGAGTTCAATTCTGTCCTAACGCTTAGCAAACCTCCCCTTAAAGCCACTAAATCCAAACCAATTTGCTAATGAAATGGACAAATCATAATTGAAATATTCGAAAAACTAGAATCTTACTCTTGATATCTTCCACAGTCACAAATGAAGGATGTAACATCACAGCTGCTTGGATAAGGGCATCCTTTGCCAGTTCAACCACAACTTTGGCTAAGACAACCCAAAGACTTAATATTAGCCATCTACTAATAAAGTGATTGCAGAGTTAAACTCATGGAAAGATATAATATTGCAATCACAAGCATTTCAAAAGTACAGGACATGCTTCTTTAACATAGTAAAGATGTGCTAATTGAACCACTTAAAATAGTGCATAAAAGAAAACTCACCACCCCAACAGAAGCCGGCAGCTCCAATTGCTGAAACTCCTTTACTTTTCAAAGCCTCAATTATCAGCTTTGCATCTTCAAACCCTTTTTCCTAGAAGAGCAATGAAATGCTTCAGAGCATAAAACTTAAAAAGCGACGCATCATTATGCATTAAATAATTGTACAAGTAAAGAGATATAGAAATGGTGTACAAAAGCGGAATGCACCCAGCAGATTCAAAATCAAACCTGCATCTAACTATAAACAAACTAAAGCCAGTCTATAAATTTATTAGAGTCCCAAACACAATTGGACCAAAGAAAGGAATTAAAATCAAGCATCAAAGAAAGGTCCTTCTCATACAACTAGATTAATAACCAATTTCAGGTAGCCCACTAACCGGTCGATGATCCTTTATCCAAACAGCTAAAGGTCTATCAGATCTCTCAGGGACAAAGGGTTCTCCATATAAGAAGTCAGGAATCACCACATAGAACCCCACAGCTGCAACCTTGTCTGCAAGCTTCCTATACAATCAAAAGCAACTTAAATTAGATTCCAGGAGCTGGTAAAGTTCAACTCTAGATGCTAGATAGAACAAACCATGTAATTAAATTAAATTGGCTTCACACCACCCTACCACAGACTCACCCCCTACTATCACAATCTAGATAAAATGATTCAACTGTGTCAAAAATTAGTTGGAGGCATGCCACATCTTAATTTGCTAAATTGTTATTTTCAGAATGCATATTCTCATATCAAAAGCAGTTATTCCATTTTCAAAATGTTACAATCAGAGGTCACTCTACGTTTTAAGTCAAGAATAACTAGTATCGAGAGGAGAGAACATCTTAATATAAGAACAATCAATCCATACATCTTTTGAAAAAAAAATGAAGCAAGATAAGTCATCTAATAGTATTTTCCATGGAAGCAAGGTGAGACATAATAGAATTCCATATGAGATGTGTGACCACATTGATGGACTGCCAGAAGCACTCCATATGTCAAAGGACCTTACTAAGCTGGCTTTCCATCAACTACTGCCTAATGATTTAACAATAATCTTTAGACAGTTTATTACAAGCACTAAATTTGCCAACCATATATATATATATATATTTGGTTACAATTAGTTTTGAATGAGATATAAGTCTACTAAGGCCTATTCTGGCATTAAAATTTGGTTCCACAATTAATATGGGCAGATTAATTTCTTAATTCCTCAGAAAGTGATAATACTTTTGTGATGACTTTAAGAGCTACTAATAATGGGAACACAGAGACTCAGCACATTGTCAATGAAAACTCTAGCTTTTAGCTCTTTCCTTCGCTGGCCAGTTATTCCAGTGGAGTTAAGTACTTTCTAGGAAAAGGGCCAGGCACTAGAAGTAAGGAAATCAAACCTAAGGAAGCTATGTATCATAATATTAGTAACACAAGATTTGAATTATCTTCAAGATTAAGAATGGGGATAATAAATTCATTGTTGAATGGAAAATTAAATAATAGAGCAAAAACATGAGATTTGAAATCAAATCAAAGACTGATTTGCAACGGCCTGTCCCACAGAAGAACCAGAGTTCCCAGTTGTCATGGAAGAGATAATAAAGGCAAAACATCAGCAAAAATTAGTTTCACTTGCAGAATTAGTCTTACCTCAAGTTTGGAGCCTCATATCCTGCAGAGCCATAACAAGAACAGCGAAATTAGCAGATGACCAAGACGATGATGATGATTATCAAGATTATTATGACAAAAACTATCTATACTACATGGAAGAGAGATAAGTTATCGCAAAAACAAAGCTAAATGAAAGATAAAATATATATTTTGTTAAAAAGATACCAAAACCACGACATATGACAAATTCCTGCTACAGATAGATCAGGAACATAGAAACAAACACCCCCTAACACCCTTCCGTTCTACCATTCTGTTTAAACTATCAAAGTACCTCACAGTGATTTTCATCACGAGTTTCAAAGCCAATATGATAAAAATCCATAATCAACACAAAACCCTGATAGAATATGTTCAAAAACACTTCTTTTTTTTTTTTTTGTGTGCGGCTCAATTCCTAAACAAAGCATCCACCATCAATTTCACACAAAACCCAAATAGAATATGGTAAAACACACAAAAAGAAACCACAACAAAGATTGAAGCATAAATGTAAACAGAAAAAAAAAAAATGAAGAGCTTGGAGTGAGAAGCAACACAAGGGAAATGTGTAATTACCGTAAACATCAGAGACAAGAAGAACAGCAATCTTGGAGTGAAGAGATCCGGTGACATAGGTCTTGAAGCCAGCAAGGTTCTCAACATGGCCAACTCCACTTGCAGGGTTCAATGTCGGTGGGTTTGAGCAGCACTGAGGACCTGACATTCTCTCTTGCTTTGGTTGAACAAACAGACACAGGACAATGACACTCCCTTAAAAAGTGAAATTGGAAGAAGGAATATAAAAAATGTGGCCTTGCCAATTCGTGGCCCCGTCGGGTAAGGAGGGACCATTAACTTTCGGCTCAAGGTATCAGGAAAACAATAGTAGTGGACCCTTCATTAGTGATTGAAAAAATGAAAATAACTCTTACATCACCTCCGGCGTCACCCATATTTAAGGTTCTTCTTTTCGGTAAGAATGTAAACTTGAAAAAATATTGGTTGATTTTTGTTTAGAGGCATGAAATGCAGCCTGCTAAGCCCTAAAAGATAATATTAAGATTAAAAAAACACCTTTTCTGTATTTGATATCGGCAAAGTGTTTAAGAGTTTAAAAATTGTTTGAAGCAGAAAATTAATAAAAAATACAAATTAAATAATTCACGAAAACATAAACGAAAGGAGTAGTTGTTTTATTGAATGAGAAAGCTTAAAAATCTATCATCTAGATTATGATTCAAAAGATAGAAAAATACCATTCTAAAATTTTTAATCAAGGATGCAATATTGAAAAAAAAAAAATTCATCATTACAAAAAATCCACCTAAAAAATATAAATTTTGGTTACAATTTATAAAGACTGTAAAAATTGAAATAACACTCAAAAATTGCCTAAAAACTAATCAAGATTGAAAATAAATAAGAAAATTAGAACATTCCTAAGTCTACAAAGAAAAAATTATTAACTTATGAATTATGTGATTGTCAAAATTTTGGAGCTTAACTAAAGGCCTTAAAAGCAAAATTTGTGCTTGAATTTAAGGAATCTTTAATTGATTCCTTGGTTACCAAAATTTGCCTTTTGAATTAGGGAAATGAAGTCAATTCCCTTTAAAATGAGGATTGCATCTTGATTTTAAAAAATTACAACCAATCATTCGATCTCTTAATTCAACATTAACTAGCTAACGTAAACATAGTTAATTTTCACCCATCTTCTATCCTTTTTCAATTCAACCAATGTGAAACCAATCTCCATAATTCAACCAACGTGAATAGTTCATTTACTCATCAAATTAAAGTCAAGGATAAACTTTTCTTTGCTTTGGTAAATGAGTCTATTAGTGGAGTCATTTCGGTGTTAATCTCCCTTGATTGAAAAATACTTATCTTAAGTCTAAATTTTTTCATTTGCCATGATAGAGTGATAAGTCAACAACATTAAAGGTGAAAGATACTCTATAAGTCTCAAGAAGATCTATCTTGTAGGGGGTTCTCCCCAATGCATTGAAGAACTCTAAATAGACATTTGCCTTATGCTATAGCTTGCCAAACTTTTTTAGTGGAAACCATTATTTGCGGAAATGAATCCACACCAAATCACTTTCTTTAAACTCTACATGCCTTTGATACTTATTTGCTGCCCTTTTATATTTCTCATTTTGCTACAAAATCCTAGTCTAAACATATTCATGCAACATTTTGGCTCTCTCTTCTGCATTTTCATTAAATTGTTGATTAGTAGGAAGTGGAATAAAATCTAAATGACTAATTGGATTCTTACCATAAATAACCTCAAAATGATTGCAACTAGTTGTTTGACTAGGTGAATGATTGTAGGCAAATTCCACTTGTGGTAAAATATGATCCCATTACTTAATATTCTTTTTCACATAACTCTTAAAAAGTTTTCCAAGCTACAATTGCTAACTTCAGTTTGCTCATCAGTTTGGGATGACAAGAAAAGTTGTAATTAAAATGAGTGCCAAGCTTCCTCCAAAAAGTATGCTAAAAATGACATAAAAACTTAGAATTTTGGTCAGACACCATGGATTTTGGAACACCATGTAACTTTATGATCTCCCTTAAATACAAGTTAAAAACATAAGAAGCATTATAGTTTTGTTCCAAGGAATAAAATATGCCATCTTAGAGAACCGATTAATAACCACTGTGATAAAATCTTTGTTTTGTTGAGTCCTTGGCAATCCCACTACAAAATCCAAGTTGACATCTTCCTAAAGAGCACAAGGTACAAAAAATAACGAGTGTTTTAACCATAACTCTTAATAAGGTAAGATACCTTGCATTGGTCAAGATGAGATGTTTCTCAACATCCTTCTATATCTTTGGCCAATCAAATCTTTCTTATAAAAGAGTAGAGGTTTTATCCTTTTCAAAATATCTTTCTGATGCACCTTTATGAGCTTTGGTGATAAGGGTTTGTCTTAGAAAGCGTTAAGGAATGTGTTAGCAATTAGCATTGAAGAGATAACCATCATACAACAAAAATAGGTTATATGGCCCATACTTGCATTCTTTCCAAATTTTGCCAAAATAAAGATCCTCCTCATAAAGTTCTTTGAGCGCCTTAAAGCCCACCACTTCTATTTGCATATTATTAGACTTAACGATTCGTGTATTCGTATCATGTAAAATATTAAAATCTATGTATTCGCTTTGTGTTTTACATGAAAATTATCACAATGCATGTCAACATGAAAACATGAACTACATTTTTTTGTTTTGTTACATTCATATATAGTTATTACTAAAATTTTAAACCATGTCACCTTCATGTTTTATTTTCATATCATATTCATGTTGTGTCATCATGTCATGTTTTAGATTATCAAATAATTACCAAGCAAATAGTGTTTTCAACTTAGGCCATTTATCACCACATTTTGATTTCTAAATTTATGCTAGATAGTGAAGTTATAAGCTTAAAAAAACTCAACTAAAGCTACATTTCTTCAATTAAGCTTGTGTTAGCTAAATATAAACTTTAGGGCCTCATATGATTAAAATATAAAACATATGGCTTAGTAATAAAAAGTTGACTCTAAAGGAAAAAAACTCTGTACATAGCATAAAACTCATTCCCATAAGTTGAATACTTTCATTAAGAATCATTAAGCTTCTCACTAAAAAATGCAATTGGTTTACTTTCTTGACTCAAAGTAATACTAATTCCTGAATTAAAGGCATCACACTCTACCTTAAACTCTTTGTCAAAGTTTGGTAAAGAAAGAATATGAGCTTCAATTATCTTTCCTTTGATGAGTTCAAAAATGTGTTAAGCTCCATTGGTCCATTTGAACACAGCACCCTTCAAGCATTCAGTGATATGGCAATAATGGAACCAAATCCCCTAGTAAAACATCTGTAAAATGAAACAAGACCCTGAAAACGTCAAATCTCAGGGAGTGAAATCGATGTTAGCTAATTCAAAATTACTTTCACCTTTCTAGGATCCATCTTGATTTCTTCACGTGAAACAACATAACCTAAAATTATAAGGTTGGAAGTAAAAAACATGCATTTATTCAAATATGCATAAATTTTTTGTTCTCTTAATATACTTTAAAATATACTACAATAAATCTATCAATGCATGATTTAAGTATATGATTCATGAACCACATAAAAGTACTAGGAGCATTAGATAAACCAAAAGACATTACCATTTAGTTATAAATACCATATTGTGTTTTGAAAGCTATCTTTTATTCATCTTCTAACCTCATTCAAATTTACTGATAACCACTTTAAAGATCAATTTTAGAATAGATAGCAACACCATGGAGCTGGTCTAGCAAATCATCAAGTTGAAGGATAAAAAAGCAATAATCAATGTAATCTTATTGGCTGTCTTACTATTTAAACATATGCACCATAAACCATCTTTCTTTGGCACTATAAGTGTGAAAACAACACATGGACTCCTACTCTCTCATACTATCCCTTATTTCAAAATATTATCAACTTGCCACTACAATTTTTCATATTCTTTTGGACTCATTTTATAGGCTATCTTGTTTGGTAAAACTACTAATAGAACAAGGTCTATGCAGTGCTGGATGTCCTTCATTGGGAGTAAACCTACCGGTATCTCTTCTTGGATAACATCATAGAATTTTTCCAAAATTGGTGTCATAATTGAAGGTGGTTCATTGCTAGTTTCATTCTCTCCCACCAAAACTAGAGCATTTATAATGTTACCCATCTTAATCTTTTTGCTACATTCAACTTAAGTGAGGAAACTGCTTACCTCTTTTTCAGAAAGTTTAAAAACACTCACATGTTTAGTTGGACCCAAAAAGATCTTATAACCATCCTTGACAAAAGTATAGGTATTCTTGAATCCATCATGTAAAATCTTCTTATCATAGTGCCATGACCTTTTTAGTAATAAATGGTAAGCATCTATAAAGGCTACATCACACCATACTTCATCCTTATAGTGCTTTTCTATAGATAATGACACCAAATAGCATTTGTTGATCTTAATCTCATTTACTTATTGCAACTATGATAGCTTGTAGAGATGAGGATGTTTTATAATTTTGAGTCCAATCACTATACCATAAGAGTGGAAACCACATTTTTGAAAATGCTATTATCAATAATCACATCACATACTTTTTCATGAGCAATACATCTTATATGGAACATATTCTTTCATAACCAATCTTTTTTCTTTATCAACACGACACTTTGGTTACATTTATAATAGGCAAGGATCCAAGATCATGATAAATTACCTCAACATCTTTTTTAAGATCTTGGGATTCTTTCATATATTCCACTTTTATCTTATCAAAATCTTCTTTAATCAAAGTCATAATCTTGCCTTTAGACATTCAGAAGCTATGTGCCCAAGTCTTTTTACTTGAAACATCTTCGAGTTTGAGTGTTGGTAGCACTAGATTGTGATTTGTTAGAAGTGACTTCTTTTTTTTTCAAGGGTAACTTTAAAGGTAATTTGGTAGTAACACTAGCCTTGGATGTTTTTCCCCTATTAGTGTAGCTCTCTTATGACCCAAACCTTAAATCACTATTACAGGTCTCTTTCGTTGCTTTTTTACCTTAAGGGCAAGCTTGCACACATCATTAAAGGTCCAACATGGTTGTAACTACACCACATTGGAAATCTCATACTTTAGGCCTCTAAGGTAGCATGCCATGGTTTATTTTTTTTGTTCCACCAATTCTTATTTTAACATAAGGTGATCAAATTTTTTTATGTACTTTTCCACCAAAAATCCTTTTACTTAAAATTATCAAGTTTAAGGAAGGCATTTTAGTGAAAATTGTTTAGTAAGTTTTTTTTCTTTAACTCTTATTTCATCTTATCCCATGTTGCAATCTTGCAACTACTTTTTTTTTCTCACTATTTCTTCAAGTTT